TAGAAAGAGACCCTTCTATGTGAGTCAACACTGAGGGTATAGTCAGCATGGCAAAACTGCAGCACATTTAACATTGGGAAACTGATCTTCTGAAAATAGTGGCTGGACCCATCTATGCATGAGTTCATTTGTTCAACTCACTTGAGAAAAACAACCTAATCACTGTCTTGAACATAGTTACAGAGAGCACAATATTGCTAAGATTGTGGAACATTCATATTTACAGTGTCCTTTATTGTCAAGTGCTACTTTTTTTTATCAGCAATGCCATTTAATAAGTTGATTTTGTTTTTGCAAAGGAAGCTGTTCAAATGTTCAGCCAAATCGTGATTCATGTAGTTTATTATTCTTTCGCAAGTGCTTACTTTGTTTTTCCCCAGAAGTCACTGATGTCATTGCCATCTTTCCAGTTGTCAGTTTGTCAGTGGCACAATTACTTGTGGGAGTTAGAAGTGAGCACGTGACAACCGCCTACCATCCTACCTTGTTGCTCACAGGATATGTTGAAGAATACATCCAAAGGACATCCTGACAGGCTGCCTCTTCAGATGGCACTGACGGAGCTCGAAACGTTAGCAGAGAAGTTAAATGAAAGAAAAAGAGATGCCGATCAACGCTGTGAAATTAAACAAATAGCCAAAGCCATCAACGAGAGATACCTGAACAAGGTTGAGAGAGATGTTTTTCAACTCTATGCTAAAATAGTTGTTGTTTTGTACTAATAAGCCATCATTATATCAGCCACCTATTACTAATCTTTTGGAACATTTGGAATAATTCCCTTGGCCCAGAGTTTTTTTTACCGGGGGTGGATGGATACAGGATGTAGGCAGGTCAGGGAAGTTGTATGCAGAACCGTAACAGTTTCTCTTTGCATTCTTTTAGGAAAGGGATTCATACATTCATTAGATCCTCAAANCAAACATTTTTGTTTGTACCCACCTATGCACGGACTAAGCTGTAGTTATCATGAAAAAGTGTTGCAGAACACAGAAGAAGAGCAGTGTATTTGCAAGGCTATATTTCAGGTTTATATTTACAAAATCATTTTCTCACAGCAATACTCTGATTTTGTGTAGGCTTTACCATATTTATTTAAGGACCTGGTCCACAGGGAGATGTTAATTTATATGAGCTGTTAAATAATTACATATAATAAATGTAATGTAAGTTATTTTATGTAATTAATAAAATCACTTTTTGTTTTTGTCCATAGGGATAATTTCCTTTCTTATAATGACATTCAATAATTTAAGTGTGAGAACTTTATTGTAATACGTTTTAAGCCAGAGGTTTTCCCCAGTTCTCTAAATGATTTATGTATGAATTTTTATAAGCAGAAAATTGCATTCAGTTATATTATTGATATAGTTTATGATATTTAAAATCATGCTTCCCTGTACTACTTGAATGTTTGAATGCACACGTGGTGCACAGTAAGCCCAGAGGCACGGGGAGAGGAGAGTATGCATCAGCGCATGTTCATAAATACGTACGTTGCCTCATTATTCATATGGCATGTCAAGAAAAGTCAAACAGTTTGACTGGAGTCTGTGCTGACCGCTCAGAGCTGGGTAGCCAGTGTAGGTTTAGGATCAGAGAGCTGTAGATCATCTGGGCTTAAGGACTCTGAATTTTCTTTTGGGATAAATTGTTATAATAAGTATTGCTTCTATATGACTTACCATTTTATTGATTAATACAAAGCATCTTTCCAAAGACCTGATGTTATTTTGTTTGGCTCAGTGAAATAAAATATGGCATGTCATAAGAAGTTAAGATGTTTACTAAATTATGCTCACTTACTTATGTTTACTTTGGAAAAAGTAAAATCACGAAGTAATTACTTCTATTTGTAAATGTTCCTGGTTGATCTAGTGTTATAAATTGGAGAATGGTTAACTGGAGTGAAAGCCTGTGAGGAATGAAGCCTGTACTTAGAGAAGTCTTGAGTGACAGATAAAAAGGAAGGAAGCCCTCCTTTGATAGCCATAGAAATTGTGTTTACAAAGGAAAGATAGATTCCTTTCACTGTTGAGGGTAAACTGCAAACAGTGCTGTTGGAAAACATTTAGTTTTTTAAAAAAGTCACTTTCTGAGCTCTGCATAAGTCCATATATGAGGTGTGAGTGGAAGTGTATGGATTCTCTTTAAATAAAAATACCTATAAAACTTTGATGCTATAAGCTCATATCTTTTGCAAGACTTTTTTTCTTATCCTTTTTCTTTCTTGGATAAACTCGATTGTGGTAACTGTGTCAAGTGTTTTGAATACTCAGCTTCTCAGCAGTGGAAATCGATACCTCATTCGATCTGATGATATGATAGAAACGGTTTACAATGACAGAGGAGAAATTATTAAAACCAAAGAGCGCCGAATCTTCATGTTAAATGATGTGTTAATGTGTGCCACAGTTAGCTCACGGTAAGAATACATTTAATTCATCATATTAGCCTTATAACTGCATATGCTATTAACGTCTCAGAACAAGGGAATGACTTCATTCATTTTCTTATTCAAACTGAAGTGGTCTGAATACTAAAACTTAGTCTTATGATTAAGGGAAACCTTATAACAAGCTTCTTTTTAAATGAATTCGGTGTAAGTCACCAAGTCTCTGCTGGTAGGAATTAGGTACATATAGGTTTATTTACTCTTTAAATAAGGCTGATGTTGGAGCTAGAAATTGAATTGAGTTTCTTCTATAACCCTTTTAAATAACTATAGTTCTTTTTTTATTTTTATTTTTCCTTTTTGTCTTTTTTACTGACCGGTAACGGGATCGCAACCCTCGGTGTCGCGCCCGTACCGGGGACTGGCAACGGGATCGCAACCCTCGGTGTTGCGCCCGCACCGCGCTCAGCCAGTGAGCGGGAACTGGTCTCCACATGGGATCCGAACCCTCGGTGGGAGCGCCGCCACGCAGCACACTCTCCAGTGTGCCACTGGGCCGGCCCTAACTATAGTTCTTTTGATCATTGTTTAAATTTTCTTTTTATTTAGCTGCTTTTCTATAAATATATTTTCGATAATTTTAAAAATATAATTAAATTGGGTATATTCATATTTACTGTGAACGAAGAGAATGAGTAGCACTTTATCACTTCTTATGATGTTGGAAAACATTTAGTTTTTTAAAAAAGTCACTTTCTGAGCTCTGCATAAGTCCATATATGAGGTGTGAGTGGGAGTGTATGGATTCTCTTTAAATAAAAATACCTATAAAACTTTGATGCTATAAGCTCATATCNCCAGTGAGCGGGAACTGGTCTCCACATGGGATCCGAACCCTCGGTGGGAGCGCCGCCACGCAGCACACTCTCCAGTGTGCCACTGGGCCGGCCCTAACTATAGTTCTTTTGATCATTGTTTAAATTTTCTTTTTATTTAGCTGCTTCTCTATAAATATGTTTTCGATAATTTTTAAAATATAATTAAATTGGGTATATTCATATTTACTGTGAACGAAGAGAATGAGTAGCACTTTATCACTTCTTTGACTTAAAATAGTTGTACTTTGGAATTATTCTTCAACACATAGAATATTGCAGTAGGTTGAGGATATTGAAGAAGTTAAAGGGTCTTTAAATGTAGGTAGATTATAAGGTGATTGATGTAAATTAAATAAAATGCTGTTGGTGCTGTGTAAAATAATACAAGCTAAAGTGGTGCCAGCTGATAATGTCATACGAGATTCAATTGTTAAATTTTCAGAAATTTTGGGAGCCAGTTGCTGAGCCATTGGTAGCTTGGAATTATTCGCAATGGGAGTATTTATACCATGGAAATTGGCCAACACGGCAAATCAGGGCCCTCTCTTCCCAGTGAGAGCCAATATTTACCAGCACACCTCTAAATAAGACACATTTTTCATGCCTATCATCCTCATTTACCAACTGGCAAATTAGATCTGCCCACCCTCCTCACCATGACTTTAAGAGTCCCAGGCAGAGAGGAAGTATAGATTAATACTTAAGAGCTCACAGTGTGCAGACAGGCTCCTCAGAGCTGTATTCCAGCTCCACCTTCTCATAACTTTGAAAAATTACCCACTTTCTGTAAGCCTCAGACTCCTGTAAAGTAGGGATGATAATCATAAAAATGATGATGACAATGACAACAGTGATCTCACAGGTTCTTGTAGGGATTAAGGTGAGAATGTTCATTAAACTGCTAGCACGCTGCCTGGCGTGTAGCTGCCCAGTAAATAACAGTTTTATCATTGTTCCTTATCGTCCTCACTTATTTTATGACAACTGCAAAATGTCTGAAGCATATCACAATTTTAACGATCCCCCTCCTTTTTAAATAAAGAATCCTGTTTGATTCTCATCAGTGACAGCCTTTATCGTTGAATTGGCTACTTCTACACAGTGACCCTGGTGACATCCACGCACCCTTAGCTTCACAGGGGTGGAAATAAGAAGCCAGTCGTATTCCTGCTTTGGAGCCGTAACTGAAGGAGTAGGCTGGGAAAGGATGTGACTTGAGATATGCTAAATTTGGGCTGCTCTAGAGAAGTTTTCAGAGTAATGCATATCAAGAATAAGACGTCTCTACTCCTGTTTTTCTAGTATTGTATTATGAGGTGCTTCCTGCAGTATGGAGACCGTTAACATTTATTGAACAGAATGTCTTCCAAGTTTAATTGTCCAGGAAACTCCCCCTTTTCGAGTAACACCTGTTAGTTCTCACTGAGCTGGCCTTAGGGCACAGCTGACTCATCCCCACTTCCTCACCCACAAATCAGGGATATTCATGCTTGTCCTGCCTACCTTGGAAACTATAGGGGTGAGACACAGGATTGTATATGTGAAATGACCTTGTAAGCAGCAAAGTCCTGTGCAAACATGGCTGTTTCTTGTTGAATCTTGTCCTTATTCGTAATCAATATTTGTCTTGGTGTGGCAGGTGGGCCAACTGCTGCTCCCAAACCACAGCAGTGTCAGCCCCACGGAGGCCCGTGCTGAAGAGGGGCTGAGCAGAGTCGGCCCTTGTACGGTTTAAAGTTAGAATTCTCAAACTGATGGAAGTGATATGCCTTAAGGATGAATAAAAATTGATACTTTACAAGTAATTTAGTTGTGTTTACTACCAAGGGTATTTCTTAAAATAATGCCACACCCCACCCCACCGCCATAGATGACATGGTTTGAGCTTGTTTTTTTACAAAGTGCAGTAATGAGTAATAATTCATTTCTCATTGATGTGTTGCCAGCATGAGATTATCAGCAACGCTGCCCAAGGGTGATGAGATGAGGACCCACTTTGGTTAGGCTAAAATGTTCAGATAGCCCCCAAGAAGACTGGTACAGGCTTTGTGGGCACCATGATTCCAAACTTTCTCTACAGGAATGGAGATTTTAGATTCACAGTGGAGGAGTAGAACTTTTGTTAAGAATTCACATGCATTTCCATTTTTTTTTTTAAAGTGAAGGCACACTCTCACTCATAGAATACCCAACGTGTTTTACTTCTTATTGTGTCTGAATTGTGCCTCCTTCCCTTTCTTTCTCCACTTGGACTAGATGTGGTACTAGAAAGTGAAATTTTCTGGGCCCCGAGGGAAGTGGATACCTTGGGTGTGGATTGTCTCTTAATAAGTGAAATATTTAAGTTTAAAGCATAGGATCTGACATTTTAGTTATTCTTCTCTTCATTTTGATTTTTTAAAATGTACCTTGAAGAAAAATGAAATGTGATTATCACTCAAAGTAAGAACAATGGTTGCTTCTGGAGGGTTGGGGTTTTCCTGGGCATGTGGAGGACTCCAGGGTGTGCTGGCTGGCAGCAGTATGGCCTTGACCTGGGTAGAAGCTGCACAGATATTTGTACTAGCATTGCCTGCTGGACTGTACATGGGTGTTTTCTGTGTTTCACTGCATGTATATTCCATTTTATAATAAGAATTCTCCAGAATACTCGAGCATCTTTGGTCATATAGTCATCAGTAAGCCTCCAGTTCCTTCCTTTTAAGCTTTTGTGGAAAACCTTTGAGCTTCCTGGGGAGTATGTCACTTGGCAGCTCTCCCCCATGTTTTCTGGATGAGAGAGTGAAAAGAGACCCCACTCTCTCATCTAATTGGAGGCCTCACTGTGGAACCAAATGGTAACTACTCTTAAGAAAGTCAGAAGTAATATAATTCAGCAATTAAAATGTTTCTCATTTGGATATCTAAGGGATGAAATGCATTGTAACTTGTTCATGTAATTATTCATAAAATGACCATCTTCTGGCTGTTTCAGCACCTCACATGAAAGCAGTGCTATAGCCAGCCAGAGGTACTTACTGAAGTGGAGTGTTCCTCTTGGACATGTAGAGGTCATAGAATACTGCAATAATCCAGGTGCAGGAGAACACAGCAGGTACCCCGCTGTGCACGTGCCTGAAAGTCTGGCGGTGGTTGCTAATGTGAAGCCAAGTAAGTGACACTTTTATTAATGTTCTTGCAAGCAGTGGGGCTGGCGTAAACTGACAGAAGTAGGCTCTAATTCCTCAGCATCCAAGTTTAAAATGGTACATCTTTTGGGATAATACAGTCTTGACAATCTATTTTATGTTGTCTAATGTGGCCAAATCGGTTGCTAATCTTTGAACTTGTTCCACCTGTTGCTGGGCCTCCTTTGGGTTTATAGTTGAGCACTGTGGCCATTTGGAAATGCATTCAGTCACCCCAGTTCTCATCTCTGTTTAGCATTCCCCGTTAAGCAGATTAGGACTTTAGTGCTGCTCTCTCTTGAGCATACATTGAATTGACGCATAGGAGGCCTTAGACTTTGTAGACCTTGGTTATAGCCTCAGCTCTGCTTTACTTCAGTTTCCCCATGAATGTAGTATTTGTCCATGAACTTCACAAAGTGAAATGAAAGAAAGATGTCATGGTACTTTGGAAATGTTTTATCATTGCATAATATTTATGATTATTATTGCTAAGCAAACTACAGATTTTGATCTTAGTGGAAAAATTATTACCTTCTCCTCCTCCCCCCCCTTTTTTCTTCTTAATCCAAATAAAGACTGGGTAAGTTTTATTCACTTTTTGGCCTCTGCCCCTGAATTGTGGAGCAGTTAAAATACAGCGAATGGGAACTTTCAGTAAACCTTTTTATATATTAAATGAGCATTAACCTTTCAGATTATTTTGTTTCTGGTGTGTTCAGAAGCAAGAAAGGAACTTTTAAAACTTTTAACCTTTCTAGTTGAATATGCGTGTTCATCTGGATTTGTCGGATCATGACATAATGAGTATTTATGTTTCTAATTTGGTATGAGATCATTTCAACTTTTCTTATTCCCCTAATGTGAATAGTCATTCAGTTTGGTAACCTGCCTAGTAGGCTAATTGTTTGAATGTATTATTACAATTGTTAATCTCTTGAATTGCCAAGTACTAAATCATACTCCCATTTAAAGCAATATGCAGCTCTGTCGAACTCTCTCACTAATAAACAAAATACAAAACTGTATCCCAGATATTCAAAATGAGGTATGTATGGAGGGGTGCTATGGAGAGGGGAAGAGGGAGGGAGGGACAAAGTGGGGCAAGAAAGAGAGAAATGAGTTTTCAAATTGAGATGACTCATTAAAATTTTATTTAAGAGCAAATTGAATGTCTCGTTAAAAATTCTTTGAAATCTTTTAAAATTATTTGGAAATATCAGTTGCAAATTATGTTTATGTTTTGGTTTTGTGAACAGAAATGCCTTTGTGTACTTTGTAATGCTAGCAGTCTTAAAATTGTTTGTAATTCCAATCGCCTGCTGTGTTCAGATAGCTAAAGATGACTTTGATCCATAAGATAGTTACTGTGAACACACAGTGTATTGTAGTGTAATGCAGCATTACATTTTCTTTGTTTTTTTATTTATAACGTATAGTGAGCTAGCTCAGAGTAAGGTTAGAATTAGTTAGCAGTTTAAAAAAGCATAAAACAGAGTGACTTAACCAATTTTAAAAATATTATATGATGAAATAAACTGGCATAAGCTTATTACTGCATTTGAGCCCTAAATATGTGAACTTTCCATTAGCTACAGCAAAAGGAGACACTTTGGGTATAGACTAGTTCTCATTGTATATTAAAAAGAAATATGTCACATTAGACAGTAAATCTTTTTTCTTTATTCTGAATTCAAGGAGAACTTTGTTGTCATATCCTAAGTTAAAGGGACTTTGGAAAATTCTTGAAAACATACATGATTGTGTTTTGCCATCTTGTATCGATTTTGTTTTATTGTATCTCTGAAAAAGCAGTTTTTCATGGGGCATCTTATACACTGTTTTAAGCGGAGAATTTAAGTGAAAAACTTGCTCTGCCATCGATAGAGATTTGTTCTGCTACATTTTCTGGGGAAAACCTGTGCCTCGGTCATACCATTATCTAATCCTCATTTATTATTAACGTTGATGGTGGAGTGTAACACCTTGCAGTGTGATCTAGTATTATAACACCTTTATTTTAAGAAAGAGAATTTAAGTGAAAAACTTGCTCTGCCATCGATAGAGATTTGTTCTGCTACATTTTCTGGGGAGAACCTGTGCCTCGGTCATACCATTATCTAATCCTCATTTATTATTAACTTTGATGGTGGAGTGTAACACCTTGCAGTGTGATCTAGTATTATAACACCTTTATTTTAAGAAATTAAAATATTGGTAACTTAATGAGGGACTTTATCTGAAATTAATTAGTCCTGAAGTTAGTGAATTCTTTTGCTGATTCTGCCAGTCTTCATTGTTTCCCCTCTGGCTGTATAGCATGCCAGTATAGGTGCCCAATAAATATGTGTTGAATGAATGAATAGAAAAATGCAGTCACCAGTCAGTATTAAGTTTTTCATTAAACTGTATCTTTCCACCCATCTGTTTATTAAAGGCCTGTTCTAAACTAAGACCTATGTCCTTAATCCTCAAATGAATAAGGCAAAGGCTCTGCATCCTGAAGCTCATGGTAGAAGGGGACAGGGTTATTAACACATAAATATAACACAGTGTGAAACATTTCTTAATAGAAACAAATGCAAAATACTTTGGGCAAAGGCTCTGCATCCTGAAGCTCATGGTAGAAGGGGACAGGGTTTTTAACACATAAATATAACACAGTGTGAAACATTTCTTAATAGAAACAAATGCAAAATACTTTGGCAGCTCAAAAGGAGATAATTTTCTCAGAGAAGAGGCCTTTAAACTTAGATTTTGAAGAACGAGTGGGATTTCAGTAGCTGGAGAATGGGGGCACATTGATTAATTGATCTGTGCATTTATGCATTTATTCAGCTGATAACTATTGCCCAGCCACCTGCACCTGTCAGCCAGCCTGGGGCATATGAAAGAGCATGTGGCTCAGGGAGTAGCTGTATGGTTAGACCCTCACAGTGTGTCACAGTCCCTCCACATGGGGGAATCAGACCCATGGTTGTCTATTTGGGGGATACAGTCCCATCCATAAGCATATAAAACTGAAAAAGGCTTCTGCTGAGACCATTAGAGTGGTATACTGCATAGACTTTATTTTCCCCCCAACTTTATTGAGGTGTAATTGACAGACAGAATTATATGTATTTAAGATGTGTGTGTGATGCTCTGATATACATATATATTGTGAAATGATTATCATAATTGAAGTACTTGACACATCCATCACCTCACTATTTTGAATGAAACTGTTAACTTAGCTGGTAACTAATGTCCCCAGCAGCTGAGAGACCTGGACAAAGAGCACCAGCATGAGACCTACCTGCGTACGTCCCCTTAAGGCCTTCATGCCTTTAAAGGTCGGATGGCAGGGCTTCAGTGACACAACCAGGATGTGAAAGTTTAAGAGTGTTTGTTACTTACAGACCCTGGGGAGTACACAGCATGCCTGGAGGAGGCCACCTACACACGGAGGTCAGGGAGTGCAGACAGAGAGAAGGGGACCTGTGAGCCAGTACCTTTACTGGGTCCAGGGTGTTATCAAAACAGGTTTCCTGCAGGGGGCTTTAATTGGCCCATTTAAAGCAAGTGGGCAGGAAGTAACTTTCACAAGCAAATGCCTGAGTGGTTCATTTAAAGGAAGCTGCTGGAAAGCAGGGAGCCCAGCCTGCTAGGCAGGAGAGATGCCTCTAAGTCTGTATCTCTGGCCACCGGCTGCAGCCATTGGGTGGGGTATAGTTGAAAGTTTTTGTATCTGTGTTCATCAAGGATGTTTGCCTGTAATTTTCTTTTCTTGTAGTGTCCTTGTCTGGCTTTGGTATGAAGGTAATGCTGGCCTTGTAAAATGACTTTGGAAATGTTCTCTCCTCTTCAATTTTTTGAAAGAGTTTGAGAAGGACTGGCAGTACTTCTGTAAATGTTTGGTGGAATTCACTAGTGGACCATCTGGTCCTGGGCTTTTCTTTGTTAGGAAGTTTTTGATTACTGATCAAATCTCCTTGTTATTTATTGGTCCACTCAGATTTTCCTTATCTTCATGATTCAGTCTTGGTAGGTTGTGTGTTTCTGATAATTTATATGTTTCTTCTAGATTATCCATTTTATTGCCATATAATTTATAGTGATCTCTTAAGATGCTTTGTATTTCTGTTTTATCAGTTGTAATGTCTTCTCTATTATTTACAGTTTTGTTCATTCGAATCATCTTTCCTTTTTCTTGGCTAGTCTAGCTAAACTTTTATCAATTTTGTTTATCTTTTCAAAACCCAACTCTTAGTTTCATTGCTGTGTTCTATTTTTCTCTTCTTTATTCAATTAGTTCTGCTCTAATCTTTATTATTTCTACTAACTTTAGGCTTACTTTGTTTTTCTTTTTCTAGTTCCTGAGTTGTAGAGTTGGGTTATTTATTTGAGATATTTCTTTTTTCTGAATGTAAGCATTTATAGCTATAAACTTTCCTATTAGAACTACTTTAGCTGAATCCCATAAATTTTGGTGTGTTATCTTTCCATTTTTGTTTGTCTCTAGATATGTTTTTATTTTCCTTTTGATTTCTTCTTTGATCCATTTGTTGTTGAGGAATATATTGTTTAAATTACACATATTTGTGAATTTTCCAGTTTTTCTCCTTTTACTGTTTCTAGATTCATACCATTTTGGTTCAAAAAGGTACTTGGTATGATTTCAGTATTCTGGAATTTAAGACATGTTTTGTGGGCTGACATATGATCTTTCTTGGAGAACATTTCATATGCGCTTAAGAAGAACGTGTGATCTCCTGCTGTTGGATGGGATAGTCTGTATATGTCTGTTAGATCCATTTGGTCTATAATGTTGTTTCAGTCTACTGTTACCTTATTGATTTTCTGTTGGGGTGACTTATCTATTATTGAGATTAGGGTATTATTGTATTGCTGTTTCTTTCTCTTTTCCATTGTTTGTTTTTACATTATATATTTAGGTACTCTGATATTGGGTGCATAAATTATTATGATTGCTATAGTTTC